GATGCGCGTTAAGCGCACGCCTTATGTTGACGACTGGTCGGGATTTCTTTTCATCCAACGACGCCTCGTTGACGTCTCTGCATAGGAACACAAATCGCCAGGCTGAAATACAGGAGCTCACATCCAAAGGCATTCTCCCCCACCAGCACGAACTCGACAAGCATCCGGAAAAAGCGGTCGAGGGGGCGCGATGGCCGATCGGTAGTGTCGCCGCTGTACGTTTCTCACTTTTCCGATGGGAATCATGTTTACATTCGCTGGACAGCTCATCCACGAGGTGTTGCCGGCCAAAGTAAGCCTCATTTAAAAACACCGACACGTTTAACTCCTCGGCCTCATAGGAGATCATCGATAGCATGGTGGAAGAAGCGGCGATGGTGTTGACTCGCGGAGGGTCCATTGTTCAGCAGGCGAAGCTTTGATTGACTCCGAAGTCGCCGTTGATAGCAAGTGAATAGCCGGCCTTTGCGAAACTCCTGCAGATCCTGGAGCACTACCCGATCGTCCCCACATCAGAGTGCACTGGTCGACTCAGTTTGAACGGGTGTATAGTCTAATTAGGCTGGAATGCACAACTTCAAATGCCTGGATACGTTAGTATGTGGGTTCTCTCCATACTAGTAGCCTCCTCAGAGTCCGTAGCGCGCATAAGTATCATGGAGTGGAGTGGATGTTGTCGGGGATGCAGCTAAGCAGATACAAACAACCGCTCGCGTCCGAGTTGGGGAATTGTATGTTACTCAAGAATACGTCCGACGACAAAGAGAAAGGTCAAACAGTCCGAATGTCACATTTTAGGTAGCAAAAAGAAAGTGTCCTCGAGCTCTGTGCGGACTTATCTCGAACCGCTGTTCAATTCCGAGTTACTTGTGCCCCTAGTTTCTTCGGGAACATCAGGTAGGGAATTGTTATCATCCTCACGATTCAGGCTCCGCATGTGACGGATTAGCATGGTCGGTACCCGCGATCGCGACCCAGGGTAAATATCCAATAAGTTCGATGTCTGTCTTCGTGAGCGGTCCCCTCGTGTCCGACACGCTCGGTAGGCCTGGGGTCCATCCCCATATAATATTAAAGCTGCTCCAGTGTAATATTATATTTGCGGGTAGTCTTAGTAGACTGAGGAGCAACTGAGGTGTCAGATCCAATCAAACAGTAGCTTGCGATCGGACACAGCGCTCTCATCCAAATCGGGCGGATTCAACGCCCTCCTCCAAATCGGGCAATTGCCTGTGGATGGAATCAATCGCGATGGTCTGCGCCATCCGTTCGATAAACCCATCGACCTCCAAAGGTGAAAGTCAAAGGTCTGTGTCGTCCGCGTCTTTTGAAAGAGGTGAAAATATTATCACCGGACAAAAACTGACAGCGCTGGGCATTTGGAAAGGCGGCAGTCGTTTGAGCTTTCTGCATGATCCTATGATTCGATTCCCATGCTTTTTGGGGCGAAAAGGGTCGGCTCGAGCCTGCGGAGGATATCGTAAAGAAATTAGAGCTCTGCATGGCGCTATGGCCGAGTGGTTAAGGCGACAGATTAGAACCAGAATTTCATCATTCCAGTCTCAATTATCTGTTCCGGTTTCCGGGCGCAGGTTCAAATCCTGCTGGCGTCGATTCTTTTTGCCTTTTGACACCTCCTTATGATCCGTTGACCCGCCAGCGTCTGCCGAGAGGCTCGGCACTGTGCCGACCAGGCCCAAGGTCTGCCGAACTGCGGAGACCGAGCCGAGCCCGCCGGAAAAGGTCGACTCGGCAGGGTACTTGTGTTTCAACTTCCCTCAGAATCCCAGGTCACTTGGACGTTTTTGTATTACGCGTGAAAGCAAGATACAGCATTTGTTATCGAACCCCAGACCCACAACACGAACAAATACCTCGGTCTATACTATCCTCCTGCTGGTGTATAACGAGCGTGTGGGCCTAGAGAACCTATTTCCAATGCTGGCGTGGCTAAATGAATGGATTGAGGGAGAGAAAACCCAAAGCAGAAGCAGCCCAAAGATATGTTTAAAATTACAAGAGGATGCGAGGCCTACGATAGTTACAAGATCCAGAAGAGACGGGACAGAGCAGTGAAGTGCTGCTCAAAGAGTTAGAGGGAACGGTTGTAAGTCGGGGCACCCATCTTGTCCCGGATGGTCTTGCCGTGGAACATGAGGTAAATGACGGGCAGGAAGGTGACGATGCCCACCAGGGACATGGTCACCGACATCCACTGGTAGCCGATTTTGTCGCCGAGAGGGCTGGGGGATATTCAATCAGTATGGGCTGCGAAAGATGGTGGACGCTGCTCACATGGCCCAGAAGCCGGCTGCGAGAGTTGAGCGAGGAAACGAGATGAGGTAGGATTAATTCGACGCACTGGTCATTCCGACGGTTTGACGGCCAAAGTTCAGGACTTGAGCAATCTCGGAGGTCTGAGGCTTGTAAACAGTCTGTGTTGTAGCTGTACAGCACTGTGCTGATGATTCTGGGGGAAAAAACATAGCGTGAACGATTGAAAGGAGCACCGCGACGCTTCTTACTGGATTGCAAAACACATAATACCGAAGCCCATTGTGGGTCCGATGTACGGCGCTGCACAAGTATTAAGCGCGATATTTATTAATGTTACGCGGAACTCACTCTTATATTGAATGCAGAAGCCCCAAATCAGCAATCCAATCTGAGAACCAGTTATTTACCTTCAGCCAAACATACTGTGGACGCTTACGGGTTGAATAATAGCGCCCGCCCAGATTCCCTGCAGTCTGTAATACGGTATGTTGGAATTTCGATATACAGCGGAAGGACACAACGTACCTGACTTCGGGGACGATTTCACCGTCTTTCTTGCTCTTGCGGCTGAGATACATAGAGCGGTCAACAACGATGCCGCCGAGCAGCTCGCCGAGGGTGGATCCAACGAGAGTGCCGACGCCGAGAGCGAGACCGGTCTCGGAGGCGTTGAATTTGTAGAGACGGCGGAAGAGCGTTGCGGAAGTTACGGCCGGGAGGATCGAGCTCAGCGTAAAGGTAACGGAATAGTACAGAGCTGTCAATACGACACTCGGATACTTGAACCTTCAGGGTGTTAGACTAATTGGAGCAGGAGGACTGTAACAAAGTGAAACGCACATAACGAATTGGCGGAAGAAGTCAGAGGTCTTGAGGTGTTTACCTTTGGGACGGAGGCCCCAAAGCTTCATTCTGCGAAGGATCGGCTTGTCCGTGACGACTGGAGTAGATCCACGGAGGATACAGTGTCTCTGGCAGACAAAAGAACATCACGACAAACATTGTGAAGTCGAGGATCGCGGGGAGATAATAGCACCACCTGTGTAAATGGATATAGCATCCCGGTGGTATGGGCAAGCACTGCTTACCTGTAGCTGACGAATTGTCCCAAGAAGCCACCTACGACGAGAGTCAGGACACATATTTCGAAATCACGAGGATTTACCTGGAATCGGCGCAATGTGCGCCGAGTTCGTCAGGAAAACGGTAAAGATACCCATAGCACGACCTCTGGAAAATAATCCGTCAAGGAAGGCTCTGAGAGGTAACTTAAGGAAATGTACCGCTCGTGGAGGAAGAAGCAGTCGGACACCATCCCGGCACCGAGGGTGAAAAAGGACGAAGTACCAAGTCCGTTAAGAACCTAGAATGTATGTCAAGATGGTTACGCTGAATCTTTATGAATAGCTCACCCGGGTTGCAATCAGCTGAGACCAGGTAAGTGCCTCACCGGACCCGAGGGACGATGCAGCTGCTATGAGGGTGGTGAAGAGAAGGACCGGGCGACGGCCGTACGTGTTCGCAAGTGGTACCCAAACAAAAGAACCGATGCCAGCAAAGGCGATCGCAATCGTGCTGGGGAAGAGATGAGACCTTGAACATTCTTTGGACCAGAGATACCAACGTTTGGTAACTGCGGCAGAAGGTGAGATTATGAATGAGAATAAAATAAAGACGCTCGCCTGGCCACGACTGTAGATACATGGAAGTGCGCCGCAAGGGGAACAAAAGCTGTGGTGACGGATGAGCTGGTAAATTGGATAGCCGTAGACAATCATTACCAGGATTGATTGTTGCCTGGTTCAATGGCCCGAGAAGGGCCAGAAAACTGACTTGGAGCAAAATTGCAACTTTGAGCCATTGGGGAAAATTCAAAGGATCGGACGCATCGTCTGAGGGCTGGGGAATGAGAGGGAGGCCTGTCTTGTCGAGCTTCAAGCTCTGCTCGGGCTTGCCGAGGCTGACATGGATACCTTCTGCAAAATTTCCCTTCAAAAAGGTGTGCTAGAGAGTGAACAACAAACCGCACGCGACTCGGGATCTCCAACGACAGAAACAGTCACTTTATCATCAACAACCTGTCCAGAGGATTTATCGTCGATGTTGTCGAGCTTCTCAGATGACATTGTTTGAGACGGGATGGTCGATACACCACCAGGGGGTTCGGAGCAGGAAGGAGAGAGAAACGACGGACACACACTGGGAACGACTATACCTGATCTAGCCTTCTTGAGAGGGCCAACCTGGGCCAGCGCGATCGAACAACAGTTGTCAGGTACAAGTCGCGTACTGGATGCGATTTGAAGATCGCGATGACCGGCAACTCCAGTCGACACTTGTACATGCTCGGAAATTTTGCCTCAAGGTCCAGCGGCAGTCTGAGTTGAGAAATTCGAGTTTCGCATTGAACTCAGACAGTACGCAAGTGCATCAAGTGCGAGTTTAAAGCTGGCTAGAATGGGAGAGCACCCCTATCCTTGGGTGTGTTGCAGGGTCGCACGACAACTTGAACGAGGAAAAAGGCCGAGGACAGCAACCGGCCAAGTTCCATGATTGATGGTTGATCCTCTGATGCCCGCCGGGATTTGGATTTCCCGAACTCTCCTTGCAAGCTCCTTGCCATGTTCCAGTCCATGTCCGCCGACGACTCCAGCTCACGGAGGGTATCTTCATTTCTATTTTGGATCAGGGCAGCGTTTGGATGCGACCCCCACGGAGTACTGAACAAGGAAAACCTGGCACTTCACGGCTTCCCTTCCTCATGCCTCTCATCTTTCTGGAGGGTCGGTTTCAAATGACTGCGTCTCTGCACCAGTCTGGCAGCGTGGAATTCTTGACCAAACATATACTTGGGCCCGACGCATCGCAGGTAACAAAAAATGGTGACTTAGAGTGGCTGAACAACTTCAAAAATAACTCGATATCCCCGAGGGTCTGGTCTGGCTTGCGCGTTAGGACGTGCCGTAGGCTCGCCCCGTCTCCTAGACGAAATCAATCTGTGTTTGGTTTTCACGGCCCCCTCGAGCAACGCAGATGCGTCTCATTCACATACTATACTTGAGCCGCGTCTGGGCCGCGTATCCAGTTTCCCAGAATATTTGAATGTGGACCGCTTGCGGTCAACTGAAATGTCGGCGATGTCGTACCTCCAGTCCTTAAACGAGGTACAATCAGATGTAAAATTCCATGTTTTAGTCTTCGCTGAAACTAACACCTCCTATCTTCCAATATCAACCTCTTGCCCACCAATATTTCAGAATTCCAGTTATGCTCAGATGGTGCGTTGGTCTCAAAAGTCCAACCCATTGACGCGTTGGTGAACCAAACATGCTAGCCGATGGTAACAATCACGCCTTGCAAACGTAACTCGTTAACGCGTCAACAGTAACACAGACGAGCCGGCAGGAAGTGGAAGGGATAGGTCAACCATAGACCCCTCGCCTCAAGGCTTCGACAGTCGATTTTCGGACGCTGTGGGCTCAATTCACAGGCCTAACTTGAATCTCACCACTGCATCCTTGGCTGTCCACATATATATCGAATATTCCGATCGTGAAGGTCCTTAGTACGGGTGCAGTCTGGTACAGTGCCAAATAGTCAAAGTGCGTGTGCCTGCGTCGGCTGCCTAGGATGAACTCCGGTAAGAAAATTCACAGGCGGGCCCCAGTCTCCGAGCGGTTAGATCTCCATTGTTAATGTCTATGGTTGCTTCCCGACCTTGTTCCAGCTTTCGTTTGCGTATGCCTGCGTCGGCTGCCTAGGATGGACTCCGGTAAGAAAATTCACAGGCGGCCCCAGTCTCCGAGCGGTTAGATCTTCATTGTTAATGTCTATGGTTGCTTCCCAACCTTATTCCAGCTTTCGTTTCTCATCGACTCGCCTAATTTGGCCGGCGGCCAGATCATCTAGGGTTGCAAAGTCCGCGCGATCATCGTGAGACAACTCGGTCTATTAATGTTCTGTATTAATACGCGGGGTAGCTCTATCAGCTGCCTGGATATTTTCGTCGTGCACCATGGCCACGACAAGTTCGGTCATTGATCTTGTACCAGCCTCAAAGGCGTTCGTCGAGAACCGCACAACTTCATTGGGAGCATGGGTTCGTGTTCAAATCCATGAATTACCAGAGACTAAACATAAAACAGGTTATAGCGGGATTTCTGGACGCAGTGTTACTGGGTAAGGTTTCTCGAGAGGGAAAAAGGCTCTTGAACTTATAGTCGTATTGTCGACAGGCGTTGTGCTATGCCAAGCTGGGACATTTTTCAAGTCTCCGAGGTCTCAGGAAGGCCTTGGAAGACACTATCGCTGGCTTGTGATGCTTGTGATTCTTCTA